GAGCCTTGTTTAGATTGAGGGTGGTTTGTAATGCAGTTCGATGTGTTAGGTAGTGTGTGCAGTGGATGAGTGCGTGTTCTGGGGTTTCTAGTTGTTTGCAGTGTGGGCAGTTACCTGTAGTGTGTTTTTTTATACTTTTTTAGGTGGTTATTTAGGTTGGTGTGTCCTGTTTGGAGTTTAGTGATTACTCTGTCGATTTTTTTGGATGGATGGAGAATTTTTGGTTTGGTTAGTAGTTTGCTGAGCACTTTTTTGATTTGGCTATTTGAGTTTAGATATAGGTTATGCCATTTTTTGGTGATGTTTTGCTTGTTTACGCTTTTAATTTCTGAATTTGAGATGGGTAAGTTAAAGCTTATTTCTGGGATTTTAAGGGATAGTTTAGCTGCTTTATCGGCGTTTATCCACAAGAAGGTTATTTGTTTGCCTGCCTTAGTTAGGTCGTTGGAGCTTTTAAGTATTTGATTTATTAATTTAGGTCGGTTTTTGGTATTTTTGTTTTGGAGAGCTTGCAGTCCACTTAGGGAGTCGGTAAGTATAAGGATTTTTTTTGTGTGGTTTTTGGATTCTTGATTATGGAGGGCTGAGGCCATGCCCATTAGTTCTGTCGTGAATATTGATTGGTTGTTTGGGAGTCGGAAGGATTGTGTGGTTTTAGTTGGTTGTGTGGTATGGACTCCGAAACCTGTGTTTGGAGGTCGGATCTGAGGATCCGTCCGTGTAGATGTGACACCAATTTGGCCAATTTTCGTGTATGTATGCTAGTGTGGTAGTTTTCGCCATGTTTGGGTCGGTTTGTTTATTTATTTGGCTAGCTAGTGTTGTGTCTATTTTGGGTATTTTAAGTTTAGGGGTGAAGATATTTGATTGTTTGCAGTTTTGTTTAAGATTTTTAATTTGGTGTTCCTTTAGGTAGTTTGTTATTCTTTGGGATATTGGGCCAACGACCTAACTAAGGCAGGCAAACAAATAACCTTCTTGTGGATACCCGCCCACGTAGGAATATACGGTAATGAAAACGCCGATAAAGCAGCTAAACTATCCCTCAAAATCCCAGAAATAAGCTTAAACTTACCCATCTCAAAATCAGAAATTAAAAGTGTAAACAAGCAAAAAATCACAAAAAAATGGCATAACCTATATCTAAACTCAAATAGCCAAATCAAAAAAGTGCTCAGCAAACCACTAACCAAACCAAAAATTCTCCATCCATCCCAAAAAATCGACAGACTAATCACTAAACTCCAAACAGGACACACCAACCTAAATAACCACCTAAAATTTTTTAAAAAACACACTACAGGTAACTGCCCACACTGCAAACAACTAGAAACCCCAGAACACGCACTCATCCACTGCACACACTACCTAACACATCGAACCGCATTACAAACCACCCTCAATCTAAACAAGGCTCTAACTCTAGAAGCAATACTAAACCCACACAATAAACTAGAAAACTTCAAGGCCTTAGGCGTATTCTTAATAAAAACGGAACTAATAAAACGCATCTAAAAACACAATAACCTACCAAATCAAAATCACATAAACAAACAAACATCCACCATACCCAGCTCCCTTAGTTCCCCTCCCCAATCCCATCGGCATCTATTCCAAATCTCAAAATTCCCAAATTCTATATAAGCAACCCCTAAAACCACCCTCTTGGGTTGCACAGACCACTTTCGCCCCTTTCGGAAACACATTAAATGGCCTGGCCGGGCCCGTGTGCGAAATACGCATCAGTCGGAAAGCGCACGTTAAATCTCCAAAGTAAGTAAGTAAGTAAGCTATCAGCGGTGCTGTGCGTGGGCTTGAGGAGGCTCTGGAGGCTTGGAGAGGTGTTGCTGGCTTGGAGTACAAACATGCGCCCTTTGTCGAAGTCTTTATAGATTCACGATGTCGGCCATTTCTGATATACCCTGATCTGCTTGCTCGTGTTCAGCTGGCAAACACGGACCTGTACCATTCCTCGCTGACAGCCTGGTTTGTACTCTGCCTCTGTTGGTGTACCCCGATAGCTGGTCCAGGGTTGCTTTCAACAGCTCCACAGAGCATGATTATCGACAATGTCAGCACAAACAACCTCACACCCCATTTTATGCCTAGCATGAACATTATAGTTGGGATCCTCCATGCGCGTTTTTTCGCTTGTTGACAAAACCTGCCGATTCGAGACGTCAAACATCAACTGACATACCCATTTCACCCTGGGATATGCCAAATACATTCACACACACGGTTATTTGTATAGATTATCTACAGACACCGAACACACGACACACAAATTTTGACAGACCTTCTAAACAAAAATAATGATCATTAACTGTCTGGGATAAACATTTCCTGCCGACTTGCATAAAGAGGACAATTGTATATAACATGAAGTTCATCCTCAATTACAGGACAGTGTTCACATAAGACAGCATCATCCTCAATATTGGCAACCTCCCTACCAAAATGTGGTCTGGCATTGTCATCCTACAGGTCAAATTTCTGCCGATAATTCTAGCGAAGGGAACAGGAGCAAAACTTTAGTCAAACATATCTTTGGCCAGTCAATTGTCCATTCACGATAACCAAATCAGTTTGCCGGGCATGTCACACCATGTCAATGACACGAGACCCCAATACCGATCATGGTCAAGAATTGTTGCCCTGGCATACTGCTACGTTACCACCACCGTACCACCGTTTTCTGCCATCTGAGAAGTCCAAACCTTGAGATTCGTCTGATAAGCTGTTAGGTTCACACCTTTCACAGGACACCTAGCTTTCAGGTGGGCTCATAGAGCTGGTTTTTAACATTAGATGTTGAAATTCGCGTTCCATTATTGTACAGAATTCTCTATTGAAAACATGAGCAGATTTTAATCAATTGTATAGTGCAATTAATGTAATAAGACAAACTCTCTGTCATTTTTTTTGGCTGCTTTGCCCAGGTCTCATTGCAACCCCATCTGTTTGATGGTTCTTGTCCCAGTTGAGAAATTACACTTTCTGATTTGCAAAACATTCGGGCAACTTTGGCTATTGACGCCTTCCCACAATTCGCCATTTTGTCTGTTCGTTGAATTACTGTCTTGGAGGCATATTTAAACATGTACCTAGCTTAACTGCATTAGTGTCTTGAGTTCCCGACACCCACACCCACACTCTCTTTGGCTTCTGGGTGCACATGTGAAATTTCATTGCGATTAGATGTTGCATTCTATTGTAAATGTCCACCTCAACCATAGCTACATTTACATTATGAGTTCCCTTCTTTTTTTTGTGTCTGTAGTATATGCTGCTTTTTGTGTTTGATTTTATTGTACCCTTGATGCTCATGATACCAATCACTGGATTGTCTGGTCCAGACTCGATTATTTTCAGTCCGCCATCATAAAGCTGGAATATTGCTGAGTGCGGCATTAAACAACCAACCAACCAACTGATCAAACATGATATTCCAGAACATACAGCTGAGCTACATGGTATTGTTGGTCTATTATTAACACATCTATAGCTACAGTGTTGATCAAGATTTATGGATGGCTTCAAAATATTGTCATTCCCTTCAGTGACAACTGGAATGTGATCAGATAGAAGGGAACTAAAGTTTGGAGTGACACAGGGATCTGTTCTTTGCCCAATACATTTCACAATATGCACTCTACTAGTTGGAAGAATTGCATGGTCTCAGATTTCATCAGCATGCTGATGATACACAGCTCTGTCTAGAATTCAAACCATTGTCACCATCATCGGACAGTGAGACATTCCAGAGAATCATAGTCTGAGCTGTTGACATTTAAAGTTCCTTAAATTAAATAACAAAACTGAAATGTTGATCATCATTTCAAAACCAAGCCCAAGTCTTGACAGCATTGTTAGACCTAGCAGTCACACAAGAAATCTACGCATGATCATTGATTCAACATTTAGTTTGAGAAACCATGTGAACAACATCTGCAAAAATATAAACCATCAGAAAAAGTAATAGTCTAGTTATAGAAGATTCATTTTATATATTTTATTCACAATATTATTTTGTAAAATACCATAAGTCCTAACATGTAGTTAGTAAAATATATAACTAAATACACTAAAAAACATATGATGTCAAAAATTTGACGATGAGAGGGAAGTGTCTAGTTACTGTCATAGATGTAGCTGGACAACGCAGATAAATGCACTGGCCGAACAATCCCATCCATAAGTGGGCGAGATATGACAACCGGTATAGGGAGAAAAGGTACGGATAATCACTGTTTGTTGTTTTTTAACGCTACACTCGGCAATATTCCAGCTATATGATGGCGGTCTGTAAATAATCAAGTCTGGACAAGACAATCCAGTGATTGACATCATGAGCATCGATCCACGAAATTGGGATATGTTGACATGCGTTAACCATGTCAGCAAGCCTGACCACCTGATCCCGTTAGTCGCCTCTTACGACAAGCATATTCGCCATTTACGGCAAGCATTGGAATACATGGGAAATACCAAACTTAACTCCCCTGTTCATAAAATAGACTTGTCTGACATTGCCGTGAACAAATTGTATTTAATACGGGTAAATATTTTCAAAGCTTGTACATTTTTATAACATCCTGGAAGAGGCTGTACATGATGTTGATATCTCATCTATGAAATAAACGACTCATGGTCATTGTTTATCATACAATTAAACAACAGGAAGAATAAATCATGAGAGGTAGTGTGTGGGTGCATGCATGTGGCTGCTTGTAGTTGTCCGGACTAATGTTCGTGTTGTAGTTCTAGCCCACTGAGATACCATGCTGCAGTTTAACATGGATATTCCATTCAGACACAGTATACTGACTCAGAGCCGATCAGTCCTTGTTTTATCCCCTTAATATCGAGGGCCATGCATTTCTTGGTATGATGCAGCTGGGGATTGAACCCCTGGTCTTCACTCTCTGGGCAAATGCTCTATCCACTAGGCCATGGTGGCGGTCTCTTGTGGATGGAACAGACAACAACACATTATATATCAACATAAATAGGACATATTTTTATGAGCTTGTAAACATTCCAGAAGCAAGTCACTAAACATACACATTGATGGAACACCAAAGTCTTTATAACTCCCATACAACACACCATTCTCTCTTAGATACAAACTTACTTGCTGCAAGATGCCAAGACAGAGAGGAGTAACTAACAGGGAATGTCTTACAGATAAATACAGGAAATATACATTGTCACATGGGAAGCAGGATATTGTAACACACCACACTGGAAATGACTGTTGTCCCACTCAGCTGTTGTCTAGTGGGATAGTCATCATGTCCTGTGTAGGCCATAAGGGTAAAGACACAAATAGTGGTGTCAGTATTAGTTCCTATATTGTTTAAGCATATAGAATACAAAGTAGCAGTATGTTTATAACAGTGTTGTCTGCCACATGTTATCACCTACAGCAGCAATCCCTGAAGCACCAGGACCAGACACTGACATCTCCCACACCATGCAGCGTTGGGGCTGATATCACTGATCAGCTATACAAGGGGGCGAGTCCGACCACTCTGGCACTCCAATACCTGGGTACACAACTCCACACAGACATCCATTTGGCAGAAAACAGAAATTGACTTCAATTACCAAAAGGAGTGAGTGAGTGAGTGAGTGAGTATGGTTTTACGCCGTTTTTAGCAATATTCCAGCAATATCAAGGCGGGGGACACCAGAAATGGGCTTCACACATTGTACCCATGTCGGGAATCGAACCCCGGTCTTCGGCATGACGAGCGAACGCTTTAACCACTAGGCTACCCGACCGCCCCAGTTACCAAAAGGAACGTGAGTGCAGGAATGATAATTAAACATAGGAAATACAGCTGACTTGTCCATAACAATGTTAGATATACTTAATGCTTCTACATGTATATGAATGTATAGTAGTAATGTGAATAATGGAATCTGCAAAACTGAAAAGAAAATGGCCATAATAAGTACTTTTCTTCAACCAGTGGCTATTGATAATGATGTTATATTCATCTCCATGACACTGATAGCATGTTTCAGTCACAAAAGGAGAAGGCCTGTGTTCCTAGTGTCTCCTATGGACAAACATATGTACGTTGAAGATATTACATCCTTTGGGCGACCATTCGGTCAAAAAATACAAAGTTGAAATAAATGACAAAAGTATGCAATAATAGTCAAATATTACAAATAAAGGATGAATGTTACAAACAAAGGCTATTACATACATACAATCAAAATACTCGAAATGTTTTACAAATTGCAGCACCATCTGGCGTTCTTTCAAAATTGTCCTTTAGCAGTTTAGTGTTTAGTTTTTTCATACACATTGTTCTTTCTTCACATATGACATCTTTTGTTTGCGAATTGTTCATTGGTATCGTTTAGTATTTTTAATTCATTGTTTGCATGTAAACAATGATTTGTAATTGTAACATTCATTCTTTATTCGTAACAATTGACTATTATCTCCTCCAGACTACAAAGGATCAACATGATGCTGTGCTATATTCCTTTGATTTGACTGCTGAGTTGAACAATATTTAAATGACTGGGTGACAGCATTTGTATACCTAATGAGCACAAAAAGTATTTTGATTCTGATTGAAAGCAAACATAAACTCCAAACACAAGTCAAAGATACCAAAATCTGAATTACTTCTGACAGTAATAATATAGCCCAAAACACCTTTTCAGCTTCTGTCCTGATGGAATTGATTCACTTGAGATTCTTCCTGAGACACTGCAACTGATCCACATCATGTTGTAGCCTCTTCTACACTATCTGGTAGCCAGTCAGTCAACACATGCCTCTCCAACAACATCTGGTAGCCAGTCAGTCTGCTCATGCCTCTCCAACAACATCTGGTAGCCAGTCAGTCTGCTCATGCCTCTCCAACAACATCTGGTAGCCAGTCAGTCTGCTCATGCCTCTCCAACAACATCTGGTAGCCAGTCAGTCTGCTCATGCCTCTCCAACAACATCTGGTAGCCAGTCAGTCTGCTCATGCCTCTCCAACAACATCTGGTAGCCAGTCAGTCTGCTCATGCCTCTCCAACAACATCTGGTAGCCAGTCAGTCTGCACATGCCTCTCCAACACCATCTGATAGCCAGATTCCCAGAATCACCAGAGTGGTTGATCTATGATCTCATCTTCATCTATTCTCCTAACCCATCCACATATATCAAACATATATTAAAATGAGATGTTGGTCCACCCCCTCCCCATGTCATCACCTCTTCCCCACCTTAAACAGATATTGCACAGTCTGTGGCTTGTTGTGGGCACCATCACTTGAGCACCTCCTTGTACTTGCCCCAGCCATGGAAACACTTGGTGAACCTCTTGTGTTCCTTGTACTTCATGGCCAGCAAAAGTTTGCGAGGACGCTCTGGCTGCTTAATCCGGATGTGTTGGATGTAAACCTGGAAACATATCACACACTTATTTACTGATCAATCCTGAACATTCACCACAGAGTTTGCTAAGTTTGCAAGTTTGCAAGGGTGATCCTTCATATGCCTACTGAAATAAAATTCCATGAAGATAGGCTGACCCCCCCAAAACAATGCTAGTGATGCTTTGGATCCAAGCAGCACTGGCCACGCTCACATTAATGTTAAAAATATATCCATTTTTAACCTTAAAATGTATCACAATTTGGTCTGGGTACTTGCCTATACAAAGGCAAATCACTGATAATGTAAGGACACTGCCAATATCAATACCAATACACCAGCAACACTGACAACAGTGATGTAACACCGACAATAGCGATGTAACAAAAACAACAGAGACGTTACTCTGACGAGTGATGTAACACAACAGCAGCGATGTAACACTGAAAACAGTGATATAATTTTGACAACAGCAATATAACACTGACAACAGTCATGTAACATGATAACAGCCAAGTAAAACAGACAACAGCGAAGTAACAACAGTAACATAACACTGACAACAGCCATGTAACAACGACAGTAATGTAACAAGAGTAACACTGACAACAGCGATGTAACACAACAACAGTAACGGAACACTGACAACAGTGATGTAACACTGACAGGAGCGATGAAACACTGACAAGAGCGATGTGACACTGACAAGATTGATGTATCACTGACAAGAGTGATGTGACACTGACAAGATTGATATAACATTGAAAGAGCGATGAAACACTGACAACAGTGATGTGACACTGACAAGGTTGATGTAACACTGACAAGAGCGATGAAACACTGACAAGAGCGATGTGACACTGACAAGAGTGATGTGACACTGACAAGAGTGATGTAACACGGACAAGAGTGATGTGACACTGACAAGAGTGATGTGACACTGACAAGAGCGATGTGACACTGACAACAGCGATGTGACACTGACAACAGCGATGTGACACTGACAACAGTGATGTGACACTGACAACAGTGATGTGACACTGACAAGAGCGATGTAACACTGACAAGAGCGATGAAACACTGACAAGAGTGATGTGACACTGACAAGATTGATGTAACACTGACGAGCGATGAAACACTGACAAGAGCGATGTGACACTGACAACAGTGATGTGACACTGACAACAGTGATGTGACACTGACAACATTGACTTAACACAGACAACAGAGACGTAACTCTGACGAGTGATATAACAGCAGCAGTGATGTAACACTGCAAAACAGTGATGTAACATGACAACAGACATGTAACACAGACAACAGTAATGTAAAACGGACAACAGTGATGTGACACTGACAAGAGTGATGTAACATTGACAAGAGCGATGTAACACTGACAACAGTGATGTGACACAGACAAGATTGATGTAACACTGACAACAGTGATGTGACACTGACAAGAGCGATGTGACACTGACAACAGTGATGTGACACTGACAAGAGCGATGTAACACTGACAACAGTGATGTGACACTGACAAGAGCGATGTAACACTGCCAAGAGCGATGTAACACTGACAACAGTGATATGACACTGACAACAGTGATGTGACACTGCCAAGAGCGATGTAACAGTCACAAGAGTGATGTGACACTGACAAGATTGATGTGACACTGACAAGATTGATGTGACACTGACAACAGTGATGTGACACTGACAAGAGTGATGTAACACTGACAAGAGCGATGTAACACTGACAACAGTGATGTAACACAGACAAGATTGATGTAACACTGACAACAGTGATGTGACACTGACAAGAGCGATGTGACACTGACAACAGTGATGTGACACTGACAAGAGTGATGTGACACTGACAAGATTGATGTGACACCGACAACAGTGATGTGACACTGACAAGAGTGATGTGACACTGACAAGATTGATGTGACACTGACAACAGTGATGTTACACGGACAACAGTGATGTAACAATGGCAACAGTGACGTAACACTGACAACAGTGATGTAACACTGACAACAGTGACGTAACACGGACAACAGTGACGTAACACGGACAACAGTGATGTAACAATGACAACAGTGATGTAAAACTGACAACAGTGACGTAACACGGACAACAGTGACGTAACACGGACAACAGTGACGTAACACGGACAACAGTGACGTAACACGGACAACAGTGACGTAACACGACAACAGTGACGTAACAATGACAACTGTGATGTAACACGGACAACAGTGATGTAACACTGACAACAGTGATGTAACACTGACAACAGTGATGTAACACGGACAACAGTGACGTAACACGGACAACAGTGATGTAACAATGACAACAGTGATGTAACACTGACAACAGTGATGTAACACGGACAACAGTGACGTAACAATGACAACAGTGATGTAACACTGACAACAGTGACGTAACACTGACAACAGTGACGTAACACGGACAACAGTGATGTAACACTGACAACAGTGATGTAACACTGACAACAGTGACGTAACACGGACAACAGTGATGTAACAATGACAACAGTGATGTAACACGGACAACAGTGACGTAACACAGACAACAGTGATGTAACAATGACAACAGTGATGTAACACTGACAACAGTGACGTAACACGGACAACAGTGACGTAACACGGACAACAGTGACGTAACACGGACAACAGTGATGTAACAATGACAACAGTGATGTTACACTGACAACAGTGACGTAACACTGACAACAGTGATGTAACACAGACAAAAGTGATGTAACACGGACAATAGCAAAGTAACACGGACAACAGCAACGTAACACAGACCATAATGATGTAACACGGACAATAGCAAAGTAACACGGACAACAGTGACGTAACACTGACAACAGTGATGTAACATGGACAATAGCAAAGTTACACGGACAACAGTGACATAACACGGACAACAGTGACGTAACACAGACAACAGTGATGTAACAGAGACAACAGCGACGTAACACAGACAACAGTGATGTAACATGGACAACAGTGATGTAACAATGACAACAGTGACGTAACACTGACAACAGTGATGTGACACTGACAACAGTGATGTAACACTGACAACAGCGACGTAACACAGACAACAGTGATGTAACACGGACAATAGCAAAGTAACACGGAAAACAGCGACTTAACACAGACAACAGTGATGTAACACGGACAACAGTGATGTAACAATGACAATAGCAAAGTAACACGGACAACAGCGACGTAACACAGACAACAGTAAGTAACGTTTGTTAGAAATTGCAGCTGTATCATGGTTGGTTGTAAATAGTCAAGTCTGGGCCACACACATCAGTGGTTCATATTTTCAGCACTGTATGATGACACTATCGACCAAGTCACCAAGTCCGACCACACGATCCAATTTGGTCATCTCTTATAGAGTGCTTGGCATCATTACTTACCCAGGTCCCCTGAGGAAAAGAATGTTATCCTACCTGTGCACTTTTAAATGCTAGTTTGATCTCCACATCACTAGTCTTCTTGCCGACCCAGAGGAAGACTTGCTCTCCGTTATCCAGAATCATGACATCATCATCGGCCAGGTCATCCTGGGCAACATTCAAAACAATCTTACCCAGTCCTACAAAAGTACATTGCAACATAAAAATAAGGATTTAATTGAGGCGAGTTAATCGAACAACCCAAGCCTAAATGAAGCTGCCCCATAGCAGCAAGTCTGTAACAGATGATGGAGAGTATTTTCTCACTCTTGTTTTTTCAACTGACTCCTGTAACTACAGCTGATAACCTAGACATATTGGTTATCTCAAGGACTTTCCAAGGCTCCCTTCCCAAACTTCAAGGCAACGCATTTGACCTAGCAAACTCTGTGCAACTAACTCACGTATGACAACTTACATAGGATGTGAGAAAATAATACCTGGCAGAAGTCTGCACATTTCTCTGATACAGTGAAGTAACCCTTCTCATTGGAGCATCGGAACAGACGACAGTACTTCATGAACTCGGAGTCCTAAAATGTGAAAGAAAATCATGTGTAATCCTGTATTTTGGCTGTCATCACACTATAGATCTTTAGATTTTCAACAGAAATCCTCTTCACTGATAGCTATCAGGAATTATCAAACAATAGTTATCATTGTTAACAATTCTAAGAACACTATCTCTTTCACATCCTGCATCCAGGTTGATGTTTGATTATTGTGAAGGAATTAGACTTTATCCCTAAGACAGTGAAGAGGATTTTTATCGTGTGATGACAGCCAAAATTATTATGGCAACTATGTAATTGATGTAGGGTATTTGTAGGAATTAATGTTTTATGTTTAAATATCAAAGCCTTAGAGTATGGGCAGCCATTTGGTAAAAAAAATACAAAGTTGAAATAAGGGACAAAACTAGCAATAATAGTCAAATGTTACGAATAATGTATTAACAGTTACTGATAAAGGTCAAAATACAAAACAAACAGACGTCGTCTGAAAAAATACAAAGTTGAAAAAATAGTCAAAAGTATGCAATATTAATAGTCAAATGTTACGAAAAGATGCAAATGAAAAGAAAGAACAATGTGTAGGAACGCCAGTGCGCATGAAAGGACACTAAACTGCTAAAGGATAATGTTGACAATAAAGAATGCCAGATGGCTGCAATTTGTAAAATATTCCGAGTTTAATCGGCTTGTTCCGCTTTGTATATGAAAACTGCATGTCGAGGTGCACAATGTATTACGTTGGAATGTTTTACAAATTGCAGCGGCATCTGGCGTTCTTTATTTCAACTTACAGAAATTTCATTAAATGTGATACATGTTTCATTATTTACCACTACTGACCTTGACCTTATACAAAGGTCACTCAAAAGGTTATGCAACCGAGATCCCAACCCTTGATATCCTGTCTGCTGATATAATTCTTCATATTCCAAAGTTATTGGGTACAAAAAGCCTAGTTGATATGTTAACTTGACCTTCAATGTCACCCATTACCACATACTGCTAAGTAATATGAAGATGGTTTTGTACTCATAATCCTGAATATATACATTGTAATGCCTACCATATAAGATATATTGGAAGAGTCAGCACTGTTAAGACAGTAAAGAGAAAACAAGCATGTACTCACATGATCATATGGTCGTTGCCCTCCGATGCCGACCCAGAAGAAGTTCTCTGGCTCCTCGCCCTCATTGATCATCTGGATGGTGTACTCATCCTATATAGAGTGAGGGCATACAGTAAGCGTACAGAAGGTTCATCACCTTTAAATAAGGGCAGCGTAAATAGAGGTGTTGGTCATTAGTTCCTGTCGAACCTTTGGTGAATGCCGTTACAATTCGACATCCCTTTGTGCTTTTTATAGCTTGCTGTAAAATAAATGCTATAAGATGAGTTTCTTTTATACATGTATGTCAGTTCCAGCATAAGAACAGTGCAGTATCTCAGTACATGGTCTTGGCTGTTGTTGGGTTGAGTTTGGCAATCTTTCAGCAATATTCCAGCAATATCACAGCAGGGAACACAGACATTGGGCTTCACACATTGTACCATCGGGAATTAAACCCTTGTTTTTGGCGTGATGATCAATGCTTTAACCACTAGGGCTATTCGACTGTGATTAACTCATTATCCAGGTAACAACGCTGGTTAACTCCCCTACCTTGTACATAATCTCGGCGACAACAGGGGTTAAATCTCCTACCTTGTACATTATCCAGGTGATCACAGTGGTTAACTATCCCACCCTGTACATTATGTAGGTGATCACAGTGGTTAACTTTACCACCTTGTACATTATCTAGGTGATCACAGTGGTTAACTATCCCACCCTGTACATTATCTAGGTGATCACAGTGGTTAACTATCCCACCCTGTACATTATCTAGGTGATCACAGTGGTTAACTATCCCACCCTGTACATTATCTAGGTGATCACAGTGGTTAACTATCCCACCCTGTACATTATCTAGGTGATCACAGTGGTTAACTATCCCAACTTGTACATTATCTAGGTGATCACAGTGGTTAACTATCCCATCCTGTACATTATCTAGGTGATCACAGTGGTTAACTATCCCACCCTGTACATTATCTTGGTGATCACAGTGGTTAACTATCCCACCCTGTACATTATCTTGGTGATGACAGTGGTTAACTATCCCACCTTGTACATTATCTTGGTGACCACAGTGGTTAACTTTCCCAACCTGTACATTATCTAGGTGATCACAGTGGTTAACTATCCCACCCTGTACATTATCTTGGTGATGACAGTGGTTAACTATCCCACCTTGTACATTATCTTGGTGACCACAGTGGTTAACTTTCCCACCCTGTACATTAACCAGGTGATCACAGTGGTTAACTTTCCCTACTTGTACATTATCTAGGTGATCACAGTGGTTAACTATCCAACCTTGTACATTATCTAGGTGATCACAGTGGTTAACTATCCCACCTTGTACATAATCTAGGTGACTATCACACCTTGTACATTATCTTGGTGATCACAGTGGTTAACTATCCCACCCTGTACATTATCTAGGTGATCACAGTGGTTAACTTTCCCACCTTGTACATTATCTTGGTGATCACAGTGGTTAACTATCCCCTCCTGTACATTATCTAGGTGATCACAGTGGTTAACTTTCCCACCTTGTACATTATCTAGGTGATCACAGTGGTTAACTATCCCACCCTGTACATTATCTAGGTGATCAAAGTGGTTAACTATCCTACCTTGTACATTATCTAGGTGATCACAGTGGTTAACTATCCAACCTTGTACATTATCTTGGTGACTATCCCACCCTGTACATTATCTAGGTGATCACAGTGGTTAACTATCCCACCTTGTACATTATCTAGGTGATCACAATGGTTAACCATCCCACCTTGTACATTATGTAGGTGATCACAGTGGTTAACTATCCCACCCTGTACATTATCTAGGTGATCACAGTGGTTAACTATCCCACCTTGTACATAATCTAGGTGATCACAGTGGTTAACTGTCCCACCCTGTACATTATCTAGGTGATCACAGTGGTTAACTATCCCACCCTGTACATTATGTAGGTGATCACAGTGGTTAACTATCCCACCCTGTACATTATCTAGGTGATCACAGTGGTTAACTATCCCACCTTGTACATTATCTTGGTGATCACAGTGGTTAACTATCCCACCCTGTACATTATCTAGGTGATCACAGTGGTTAACTATCCCACCTTGTACATTATCTAGATTAATACATTGGTTAATTCCCCTACCTTGTACATCATGTAGGCAATTTGCTCTGCCAGCTTGGCCTCATCGTGGTCTGCCTTCATCCCAACCCACACGTACACAATGCCATGCATGTCCTCACTATCAAAGGGCACCATTAAAATGTAGCTGAAACAAATATAAACGCTACAAACACTTATTGCCTACAGTGCAGTTTGCCTTCCATGTAGTTCCTAGTGTAGTTCACCTACAGTCAGCCTATGTCACCCTGTTACTCACATATGAACCAGTACAAAAGATTGCAAAAATATACTTAACAACAAAAGTTCCTGCGACACCAATATTTTTGTGTATTTTTTAAACAAGTAAAGTTTGGTTTTCAATATTGTAGTACATATATGGAATCAAGTCACAAAATGCAACTGCATGCATTCCATGCAAAAGTTGACTTTTATGCAAGCCCCATGCAGTTCACTACCCAAGAATGGGTATAAAAACATGTGCGTTAACGGGATTCCATATGCATTGTTAAGCATCGTGCTGACAACAACCACTCAGAAAAAACAACAAAATTACCCAATTTTTCAACATTACGAAATGCCACGCCTGTCTGATAATGAGCGTCTGCGAGCCATTGGTATGCTTGAAGCAGGATCGAGTCAATGTGATGTTGTAAGACAATTTAACGTCCACAGAAACGCCATTTGGTGTTTATCGCAACGTTGGCAACAGACGAATGCCATCGTCGGAGTGGCAGGCCACGCATAACCAATAATCGACAAGACAACTGGATTCGAACAACACACCTACGAAATTGATTCCAGCCAGCAACAGAGACTGCAAGAAGCATCCCTGGCCTTTGAAGAATATCTTCACAAACCGTATGTTGTCGCCTCAGATGTGCAGGGATTGTCGCCAGAAGACCCGCCAGACGTCCCATTTTGACAGGAAACCACCATCAAGCACGTCTACAGTGGTGCAGACAGCATCTACACTGGACTGCCATTCAGTGGGGACAAGTTCTATTCACTGACGAGTCTCGTTTTCACCTCAGATTCGAGTGTACCAACGTCGAGATGGACGTTACGTCAATCATTGTGTCATGGAAGAAGATCGGTTTGGGGGTGGCGGCGTTATGGTATGGGGTGGGATTACAGCAAGAAAGAGGACCCGTTTGATAGTGGTAGAGGGAAATCTCAATGGACAGCGCTACTGCAATGAGATCATCGTCCCGGTTGTTCTACCGTTTTTGAGTCGTCATGGCCCAGGCATTACCTTTCAACATGACAACGCCCGGGCTCATATTGCTCGACTTGTTCATGATTCTCTTCAACAAAACAACGTGAATGTCATCCCCTGGCTGGCTGGCTCCCCTGATCTCTCACCAATCGAGCACATGTGGGATGAGATGGATCGGCGCCTTCGACATCAACCACGTGTTGGGCAGACACTCCAGGAACTTTGAAACATGCTCCAGCGGATATGGACAGATATCCCACAGGACTTTGTGCGATGCCTGGTCCATTCCATGAGACAAAGATGTGTTGCTTGCATTGCAACAAGAGGTGGACACACACGCTATTGATTTGTAAATTGACATTTTGGCATGTTCATGTTTTTTTATGAAATCACGCATTTTCTGAAGTCAGTATGGCAAATTAAACCATTTGAACACTTACAGGAGTCTTTTATCTGTTGCAAACCGAAAATGTTTCAGATTTGGTAAAAAACATAACTTTGCATTAAATCTTAATCAATGTCACAGGAACTTTTGTTGTTCAGTATAGATGCCAGTGGTTAACCTATTGAACATGAAATATACATCCAAATGTATCTTATAAATAAACATGAATATAAATACATGAATATTATATTTTACACCAATTTCACCCTTTGTAATTACTCTATTCTGCATGTATGACTACCCGCCCCACCCCACCCAAAATATTGTTTTGGTAATATAATGTTTGCCCATCTGCAAGTTAATAAATATTGAGCCCCCCAAATTATCAGTACTGTGAAATTTGGGCAACTAAAAACTTATATTCTCAAAATTAATGAAATGAAGATACAAAGAGTTCGGTCAACAAACAATGAATGGAAATCATGGAAGTTGTACAAAAGGAATATCTAAAACTAAAGTCAAATTAAAAAAATTATACAAAAAACAAAAAACAGAACCATCTCCATCTTTTTGGAATGCTCCAAACTGTGCCTCTGGCTATCTTCATGAGAACTTTCAGTAAACATCCCTTCTGATTTGGAAACACATCTGTGCCCAATGTAGCTAAATTTTGAAACAATGCCTCTAACTACTGAAATAATAACATCAGATGTAGTTCTTGTTAAATGACATAGTGAAACACAATCGAGACTCTTTGATAATGACATCAGCAACACAATGGTGGCACAGACTTATGTGTCAAGCACAGAAATATTGATCAACCTTTCCTGTACACAAATGTGCACACTATCTTTACATTAGCACTTCAATCATTTCCACTGGGAATACACCACAAACTTACCAAAAACAGGAATTAAGAAGAGATGCTGAGGCTGGTGCAATCTGCAAAACAAACGTGAACACATCACATTTCAGATAACATCAACTTTCAGGAAACATCACCTTTCAGGAACATCACCTTAGAGGAAACATCACCTCCCAGGAACTTCACCTTATGAAACATCACCTTCAAGGAAACATCACCTTTCAGGAACATCACCTTCAAGGAAACATCACCTTTCAGGAACATCACCTTCAAGGAAACATCACCTTTCAGGAACATCACCTTCAAGAAAACATCACCTTCGAGGAAACATCACCTTTCAGGAAATTTAATGAAATCTTAATATTTTTTACATTTGTATACTTATCCTGCATTACTCCGTATTGCATTCACTGCTGTCTTTTGACAGAGAGACGAACTGTGTGAGATCCAGCTGCTGAAGAAAGTTTTCCCAACCAGTACAGGAAGCAGTGCCCTCTCACAGTCAGCACATGACCCTTGATGTCCCATCAAAACACATAACTGCTTTAAACATGACATCTGAAACTTCGTGGGGAGGCAGCGTAGCGAAGGGCACTTAGACTTCGTAATGTTGGATAAGTATACAAATGTAAAAAATATTTAGATTTTACTAAATTTGTCTTACATATCCTGCATTACTCCGTATTGCATCTTTATCAAACGGCAAGAGCCATTCTAAATGTGATCGCCCTAATTTCGTGTGGGTTGATAGCCTTGTGGGGAGGGTCCAATCTGGTGGCTTTATAAGATTGGAGGATGACCGCCTGGAGCCACAGGGAAAAGTATTCTGGCTGACCAACGACTGCGACGAAGTGCAGACCGTCAGAAAAAAGGTGTTTCCTAGACTTGCGGCAGGTTTAAGATCGTCGTAGAAAACCTTCAGTGCCCTTACTGGCCATAATAACGCTCCTCCTCCTCCTTGGCGCCCACAATGGACGAGGGGGTAGGGGATAATGAATGATCTTTCAGGCTGTCCTTGGAGTTGATTCTTTATGATGAAGTCCCAGCACGGTCCATGGTGAACGGCGCCCAGAGTACTGTGTTCAAACCGGACACGGCAGACGTCTAGGGCGTTGAGCTCATTGACCCGAGCGTCAGTAGCCGAAACCAGTAGAAATACCGTCTTCTTCCTTAGGTCGTAGAAGGAAGATGTGTGAAGTGGTTCGAAGGGAGCCGTCCGAAGAGCGTTTAAGACCACATTCAGATCGGATCCTGGTGTTTGTCTGAACAGAATACCTGGAACGGGCACCATTTATCATCAGTCCCCGTGTAGATGGAAGGTGGGCTGTAGCAATAGCCTTGGCCGCTCTAGCCAAATAGCCCTTGGCTCATGGGGCTTTCTGCAGATGTGTCAGGCGTGCAGACGAAACCGTTCAGGTTTTAGGGTGTGGCAACCGACTGTGTGGATGGAGCAGAAGGTTGGACCACACCGGAAGTTCCAGCTGTTGTCTCGGGGATGTTTTGGAGGTCGACAAACCAACTTCTGGCCGGCCACCAAGATGCGACCAAAATCAGTGTCAGATGCCAAATGGCCTGGATCTTTGAAGAACTGTGGGAGAGGGAACCGGAGGCGGAAAAGCATACTCGTGGAATCTTTCCCAGGAAAAACTGAAGGCGTCGACTGCCACAGCGGCCAGATCCTGCACTGGTGAAATGTGAGGCAACAGCTGGCAGTTCAGAGATGTGGCGAACAGATCGATGTTTGGTGTATCGATTGTTTGACATAGTCTGGCGAAGACCTCTGGGTGGAGCTTCCATTGGGTGGGAGCCACCTAGTTAGGCCTGGACAGAGCCTGTGCCAGAACATGCTCTCAACCTGGTGAGTGCAAGACGAGCTCCTTTTTCTTAAATGTCAGCAACAGGGGTCTCCGATCATGTACCGTCGGGACGATACGTGGAGAGGTGACCTCACCTGCGACCCAAACCCCATGTAGACGAAAAATAAACCAGCTCCACAATCGACCGCTGAGGCATCGACGTAACCGGGTAGTCGGAAGTCGAGGCAATGTGATACTAGGCAAGTAGTCAACAGGGGTCTATGGAACGGTCGTGGGACGAAGTAGAAAATCGACGCTGTATCTGGTAGTCAAGGCTGAAGATATGAAGATGTCGTAGTCTAAATATCAAACCGTACGAAGGAAGGTGATCTTTTCCATCCCTTGAACGGCTTATAGGTCCTATCGTTCTTATAGCGAGGGGGCGATGAAACGAGGTGCCTCGCAAAAGCCGTGCTGGCAGCGGAGGTCTATCGTTTTCATAATCTGTGCATGGATGGACTGCAACAGGCGTCTGGTTGAGTGGTTGCACCATGCATACATGTAAGCATGCAAACCAATCTGTAGAAATACATTGCTCCGCTCGCCATGGTCAGTTGACCTTATTCCGGTCGGAGTTGTTGACAGTCAGAGTACTTGACACATGACATGTAAATCACTCTGTGCAGTAGCTGAGAAAGTCGCATTGGATCCGGAAGTGAGATGCAATCTCCACACACAGACAATCCTCGATGAACTGTGTGGTAGACAAACAAGTGGTGTACCCGAGTTTTGCGAAAAAACGCAGGAGCACCGGGGTCACCGTGGAAAACCCGGGGGGCGCCGAGGAAGAGTCGCTGGCGCTGAGGCAGGGTAGAGGAGGGTTGGCGTCGGCGATGTCGACGAAGAAGACAGTGGATGTCGTCGTCGAATGGCGGGGCCGGTGCAGAGCGATATGATACACCCTGATATGCGAGACCAGTCAACTATGATCCCGAGAAGTGGGTACCCAGTAGCCTATGACGAAGGGGTCAAACAGGCTTGATGAGCCTGAAGTGAAGATCTGCCAGTTCTGATACAGACGATGTCCACCAGAAGCTCTGATTCGATGGAAACCCACAGGTAATCTCTCCGAAAGCATGGCGCTTTAAACGACGGGGTTAAGGAGAACGTCGCCAGTGGGCAAGTTGAATCGGACCAAATGTCTATTGGTTGAAAAGATTCCTTCCAGGTAGTTGAACGCCGCCGCCGCTGCTGTCAAGGTAGATGGCTGAGGAGAAGGAAGACCCGTCCTGTTATGGGCGTCACCGGAGGGGATGATGTTGTCGATAAAGGTGTCAGCAAGAGTGGTGCAGAAAGACCGCAGTCTCTGAGTTGTAAGCCATATCAGGGGGTCGACGAGCACACTGAGTGAGGTGTGTTCTGGATACTTGTATCGAGTTGAAGGAGCACAGCGACGAAGGACTGCAACATCAATAGTACAATCACGGCAGAAGGGGCTGCCCCGACCAGATTTGTTCCCGTGGCAACAAGTGCAGCGAGGCAGAAAATCTGGAATTTAAGCAAAACATAACTATGTGGCAAAACCACAAAGTACGGGAAGCATAATGTAACTCAAAAACTTTGTATTTTATTGAAATTTTATGAGAGCAAACAATTACGCTAAGAGGTAGCGAAAAGGCATAGCTTTAAGCAAACGCATAACCATGTGGCAAAACTATAAAGTACAGGAGGCATAATGTAACTCAAAAACTTTGTATTTTATTGAAGTTTATGAGAGCAAACAATTACGCAAAAAGGTAGCGAAAAGGCAAAGCTTTAAGCATAAAACATAATACATAAATTTAATGTATTACCCAAGCCAAAGAAAGATTTCAAAACGCAGAACACGAAATTACGTGGCCACGTGTTGAATGGCAAAAATGGCGGGTGAAGAAACGAAATGGAGGGAACAACATTGCGCCCGTAAATTAATGTGACTAGAGCCACAAACAAGCGATAAACATTACAAATTACGAATGGGAAGACCCTAAAGGTAACAGCCCATAAACAGGTAACGATGTAGCAGCATTCGATGAATGTAGAAACACGCAAAATATAGAAACAAGAAACTTTAATTTCCATAAGGGATACAAAGTACGTCCATCTGTGGAGGTGACAAAGCAGTTATGCGTTTTGATGTGACGTCATGACTTCCGGGTCACATGCCGACTGTGAGAGGGCACTGCTTCCTGTACTGGTTGGGACAATTTTCTTCAGCAGCTGGATCTCACACAGTTCGTCTCACTGTCAAAAGACAGCAGTAAATGCAATACGGAGTAATGCAGGATAAGTTGAAAAACATCACCTTTCAGGAAACATCACCTTTCAGGAAACATCACCCTTCAAGGTAACATCACATGGACACTGGTTATTGCACATGGACACTGGTTATTGCACATGGACACTGGATATTGCCCATGGACACTGGATATTGCACATGGACACTGGTTATTGCACATGGACACTGGATATTGCACATGGACACTGGTTTTTGTACATGGATACTAGGAGGGACTTTTGATGAACCAGCACCATCAACGCAGTCCTTAATCCAGTTAACTAAAACAAGGTGAACCTTGCACAACACATGTGTGACTTGGATATTGCACATGGATATTTAAAATGGATATATTGCAAATTAATACTGGATATTGCACATGGCTATTGCAAATTGATACTGGATATTGCACATGAATACTGGATATTGCACATGGCTATTGCAAATTGATACTGGATATTGCTCATGGCTATTGCAAATTGATACTGGATATTGCACATGAATACTGGATATTGCACATGGATATTGCAAATTGATACTGGATATTGCGCATGGATACTGGATATTGCACATGGATACTGGATAGTGCACATGGATATTGCAAACTGATACTGGATATTGTGCATGGATACTGGATATGGCAAATGGATAGTGCAAATTGATACTGGATATTGCATATGGATATTTGATATGGATACTGGACACTGCACATGGATAGTGGATATTGATATATGCTCAAAAGATATGCATTATTGACATCTCTATGCATATACATTTAATCAAGTGTTCCTGCTATAGTGTTTGCAAACATGCAACGCTGAACATTTTCATTTGACAATTTCTTTGACAATTTCTTCAACAAATCACAATTCCAGTTCATACTAGTTAGTATGCAGAACAATTTACTGTAAAAACAATTAACATTCTGTCCATAGCACTTTGGGAAAGGGAAATCAGTGTGGTCACTAAAGAAGTTCATGTTCAGTATTAGCACCCTTATACTGAAGAACTGAACATCAACAAATATGGGTTTTTCAGATTAAAAACGATGTTTTATTGGTCTGTTTTCAGTCGTACAAATGGGTATCTCATACCTCTAGTCGCACGTTAAAAGGAAGCCAGAAGCTGGAATGTAAACAATAAACTTGTTTCCGTCCGGTTGCGCACGCACCCCCCTATGACATGTCACAAATCTCGAAGAATAACCCATCAAGCAGGACTGGACTGGATTACTTCCCAGTGGGGATGGCTGGGTGGGAACGTACGACTGAAAACAGACCAATAAAAAATCGTAAATAAAATCTGAAAAACCCATGTTTTAGTCTGTTTTCAGTCGTACAAATGGGTAGAATTTGACAGAACACTGGAAGGAGGGTCGGGAAAGTAATCAGGAAGTGACCTCTTTCACGTCGAATGTATCAAGTTCCTCACCCCTGTAGTGACAATAGAACATTCGACCAGATGCACGGACGAGACAAATTGTTTATCACGAACGCACAGCATGGTGAATGCTCATCGACACACAACTAATTATCGATGCGACAGGACAACTGCACGCGTCAGTTGAACTGCGATTGAAGTGGTCGACGTATAGTTTAGTTACAGAGCAACTCGCAGTATACAAGGTAACTAAAACAGCATGTTTAATGCTTTTCAACCCACAAGTAACTATCGATGCGACATGACAACTGCACACGACAGTTGAATTGCGATCGAATGGTGGACGGCATATAATTTAGTTTCAGAACGACTCGTCGTATCCAAGGTAACTAAAAATAGCATGGTTAATGCTCTTCAACACACAACTAATTATCGATGCGACAGGACAACTGCACACGTCAGTTGAATTGCAATCGAAGTGTGGTCGACGTATAGTTTAGTTACAGAGCAACTCGCAGCATACAAGGTAACTAAAAAATACGAGCAGTACTATAAAGTATGGGAAGACGATGCATACACCGCATAACCATAATAAAACAGCCGGAGTACTGCATGCAACAAAAACCATAAGAATGCGTACATTCACCAACAGTTTTTATTGTAACCTGTTATCTGGCACGAAGTGTCAAGCAAAAAGTCCAAAGTGAATAAAGCACAAATTCACTGTCTTTTCTGGGAGATCGGTTGTGTCACTACGAGTGGACCAAACTGTGTGCTCATGTTGAAGCTATGGCTCGAACTTCGTGCAGATGAGAGGAGGTGGGAGGTGCGAGTCCTTGCGCCTCATAAGCTCTGAGAATGACCGCTCTCAACCATTGGTTGAGAGCAGCATGAACAGCCGTCAAAAATGTTGTCGTCGCTGTTCAGATCGCTGCAGGTAAATACGAAGCGCATAACCTGGGCTTTTCTGAGACAATGTCGAACGCGACCTGATCGAGAGGCCCGTAAATCGAACTAGACAGGTAGCGCAGAACGATATCCAGGTCCCAGGCCGGCAGTCGGAATTAATGTGACTCATCTTCAACCATGAAGGCACGTAGAATTTTCTGCAATTCCGGTATTTTAGTGAGCCTGTCGCCGGTAGGAGACGGCTCGTCTAGGTAGAAGGCGACCCTGATCGCCTGCCGATGGAGCCATTCTACGACCGTCTTCATGATCCGTGTGATGAAGTCTTCCCCCTACCGGTAGCTTGTCTAAAGGTAGTAGATTCTGACGACGGTAATGGCGGGGGAAGGGACCTCACTTCCTCCCCCGCTGGCTTGCTGTCGACAGCATAGCAAGCGGTTGTAGCTGGTGACGAACAGCAGTGTCCATGGATCCCCAATGCCTGTCTACTACAAGAATCTTGGAGGGCGCTGGTTTCTTGAAGATGAGCTCCCAATCCAAGTCCCTACTCATGGGTGACGAAAACGGCATGCCATAGATTGGGTAAGGCGATCGAACAGGTGATTTGCTGAAACTCTGCCCCAGCAGAGCAGATGCAAGTTCTGGTCCATATCGTGAGCCATGGCTCTGAAGACATCGGGAGGAGAAGACTGAAGAGACTGCGGCGAATCTCCAACCTGAAAGCCAGCACACGTCGGTTTGTCATCATCTTTTGATAACTCAGGCAGAAAAGTGAGATAGTCAAGCCATAGCCAGGCTGTCGTCACAATCCATCGTCGACGTTGATTGTGTAGGCGTAGATGAAGGAACCGGTGTACAGGACGATGGTCCATGGACCTCCGACGTCGTCGAACCCTTCTCGGTCGACGCCGTCAAGGCGAGTACCGCCGCGGTGATCTGGCCTATCAAAGCCGGATTGAAATGAAAGTGAGACGAGGGTGACGATCGATCATTATCTCTACGACGCTGATTTCCAAAAAACTCCCTTCGAGAGCGTCGCACGTCCCCGTGGGGACGAGGGCTACGATCCCTAACTGTAGAAGTACTACGATCCCCATCGTAGTTATCGTCCGAATCGAACTCCCGACGACCTCGAAGGCGTCGAACGTCCTCGTGTCGTTTACTGTCTCTCGACGAGGCACTCGACCTGTCGTCCCCGGGCGGGAACGACTTGTAGAGTGGGATCCATGTTCACTGTCGACCTATCGTCGTTGGTAGGACGAGAGACGGACCGACTGGGGACCGTAGTCCCCTCATGGTCCTCGTCACGAGCCGGTCCCGTCGTAACGGGGGTGGCTGAGTGACGCTCTCGATCAACCGATTGACGAAGATCAGTTGTGCGGGAAGTATCATCAGCAGGCGAACGGTCACGTGTCTTGTCAAAAACATAAGTGGACTGGGGCGGGTCGTTATCAACTGATTTCTTGGGTGTGGCCGACACGCCACCCCCAGGGCCAGATGTAGAGGCTGCAGAGTCCAGGGATCCACCCGATGACCTACTCTGCTTGTAGCCCGCTTCGCCAACGCACGAAGATACCAATTAAAGTTTATTAAAGTGATCACATACTTTACAACGTTTATCCCACGAACATGTTGAAAATCCGTCATTAATTATGCAGGAAGGACAATACTTGTGAGGATCTACTTTAGACAGTATACTTTGACACGAGGCAGAAAAGCCCGACATGTTGCCACGTGTATAATCAAGTCAAACAGTGAAACATGTGTTGAACACAAACAATGGATTACCAAGGGTTACATTCCAGGAGTCTACAGGTAAGACATATTATTATTACTGTATTAGAACAACAACTGTAGACACACGATAAGTACTAGTAGAATACAAACTAGCAGTCTATCGCGAAAGTCCTTCTCGAGCGACCAGCTCAGAGGCGCGCTGAGAGATTTGTGACATGTCATAGGGAGGTGCGTGTGCAACCGGACGGAAACAAGTTTATTGTTTACATTCCAGCTTCTGGCTTCCTTTTAACGTGCGACTAGAGGTATGAGATACCCATTTGTACGACTGAAAACAGACTAAAACATGAATTTGCCTGGACATTGTGCCCACCAGACTTCCACCTTTTCCCAAACTTGAAATCAGAACTGCAAATGACGATGATGATGATGTAATTTCTGGTGGGAAGGACTTTTTCTACATCAGTGGGATCTAGGCACACCTGCATTGCGAGCAGAAGTGTGTGGATCTCGGAGGGATTTCGATGAACCAGCTCCATCAACGCAGTCTATAATCCATTTAACCAATCAAAATGACTAAACAAGGTGAACCTTGCACAACACACGTGTGTCATACAGATTTACTATCTTACCACCTGTCTATTGACACTGTGGAAAAACAACCGTGTTATCCCCCTGCTCACCTGTACACATCTAGTAGCGATAGGACTGCCATTGGCTCTCAGCTGGAAGAACTCAGTAGATGGTTTCACTGTTTCAGTGTTGGGTGTTCTCATTGGCCGTTTGCCGGTGCGGATCACAAACTTGCGTTTAAAGTGGGATAGAAACTTAAGATTCTCTTGTTGCTGATGTTGTCGTACCACCTCCAACTTGTCCTGAAACAGAGCTGCAAACTTCTTCTGCAAACTGAAACAGAACAATACAGTCATTACTTCATGCATCCATCAACACTTTCATGCAAAGGGTCTGTTCCTAAGTCAATAAAGAAACTTGGGTGATAAAATGTAGGCAAACAATTGACTGTCTGCTCAAATGTGGGGTGTGGCAAAGACAAAATGTCTCGAACAGATGAAACAGATGAAATATATCCTGAGTGAGAGGATGTTTAAGTTACAGTTTTCAGTTTTCTAGATGGGGTTACAATGACCTGTCAACTGTCTGAACCAGGCAGCCTGTGTGAGGCTGCATATAGACAACAATCCAGGAAGTTTGGGTCGATGGCAGTCAGGGCACACATTGTCACCTTGCAACTGATCTTCATCTTACTTAAATGCTGTCTGAATAACAGCAATTATTTCAGTATGTGAATGACCTTGACACATGGCAAGAATTGAAGAAAGTGCTAATGATTGAAAAACACTATATATTATCATGAATCAACAGAAGTGTTGCATGATCCGACAATAAGCTTTCTGGTGATTGATCTTGATCTTCACTGGAGCTCATCGAGAATATTCTCAAAATAAGACCCCACCCAAGGAATACCCATAAATGGTTTCATCAAATTCCAATTGGTAATGTTAAAGATATTGTGTTCACAAGCTTTAGGGATGGTCTTCTCCACATTGAGTGAACTTCCCCTTATATGTCATCGCATCACATGTGAGAACATTACATAATTGTTACAAATGTGAAGTCTTCATACCAAGAAGACAAGATGTCCTGAATGAAACTGTTTACATGTAAAATCTTAGTGACCATGTAAGTTGAAAATCATGACAAGTATTGAAAATAGTTTTGATATTTCAGAAATTATTCAGGTTTTATACATAACTTCTAGTGACCTTGATCTCATAGAGAAGTCCCCTAAAAGTTGATATCATCAAGACCCCACCATAGAGATTGTGTGTGCTAAGTTTTGCCCAATTACAATAATAAATGTTCAAGGCATAGTGTCTGCAAGGTGTTTGGGACATCTACTTCAAACTTGGTGACCTTTAAAACTTAATACATGTTCCTAACACCTGTCAAGCATTTGGTTGAAAAAAACCAACAAAACAATTGTAGCGGCAGAGCCCAAAGTTGAGATGTGACACAAAGTTCATAATTACAAGCAATGATGGCAATCATTAATGGTTATTTGTATTACCTGAAGGTGAAGGTGAGCCAGCCCATGTTGGAGGCAGTCCGGCCCTGCCAGAAGTACACAATACACTTGTATTCATCCTCTGGTGGATCCTCATCTTCCTCCTCACCTTCTGGCAAGTCAACCGGTACCCAGTACCGACACAGGAACACATAGCTGTCATCACTGTAGAATACACCTGCCAAATACACACACATTCACCTTAGTATCAGATGAAAACCTGTCACATACACATACACATACACATAATTATCATATAATGTGTAGGTTTCTCGGCAGGATAAAGCCTACGGAAAAAAACAATATCCGTTGGGGTCATATGCGGATAGCGATGCAAATATCAAAGGTCAAGTAGGGACTACTTTCAGTGTATATTCCAGGAAAACTCGCAATGTTTAGGTAATGTTTGCGAGTGAGGGGAAGCGATTTTCAAGCACAGAATTGAAGAATGAGATTATATGATAAAGAGGTTATCACGCATCCATGGTCAACGACAAGGGAGCAGGATCAATTGATCCGAAAACAACCTCTATGAAACCAAGCTCAAACGTTGAATCAATTGCTGCACACTTTCATCAGGCTATAGGACTATGAGATACTGGACAGACGACTTGATATCATCAACATGCAGTGCATCTCCATACTTGATGGCGAAATGTTGTACCACCCCTTACAAACTGTCTCCTTACAAACTGGGTCACATGTGATGTTTGGAAATGAGTCCCGATTCACTTTGTCGATCTGAATGTCAAGCCAATGTCAATCTAAGTCCTCATGATAGATTTGGCGGTAGATCAGGTATGGTGTGGGGCCGCATCACTATGACTGACAGAACCCCACTCCATACTGTGCAAGGCAAGGTCACTGGGCAATATAGGCTGCTGACCATATTCCTAAACTTGGCCAGGCACTGCAAGCAGACCTGCCAACCCCTCATCAGGACAGAGGGGGAGATTTGACTTTAAAATGGAGGAGATATGTAGCTTGACCAATTGACGACATGTTCAATCCGTCAAATTGTCAGGGTTCGTCATGATGCAGGTATTCTGAGTATTTGGTGAGATTTTGGTAAAAAAATCCGCCAAAGAAATATCAAGTGCATTTATCCTGACGCAACATGACCTTTGGGTCATTGTTGACCTTTCTGACCTTGATGTGTATTAATCTCATAGGCTGACTAGTACTGTCAAATGCAAATTAGATTGCTGACCTAGGACGCTAGCAAAGTATTAGCCAATCAACTTGTGTAAAATAATCACATGATAAATTCTCGCGAAATTTTATTTCTGTGCAGACGAGTCACGATGACAGTCAAAAGGAAACTTTGACTTGGAAGCCGTAGCTATGAAGAAGCCTGATCGAGTTACATTGTTATTTCGACTACCGAATCAACCAATCACGCATGGTTTTGCTTCTGGAGATGGCGCTTGCTGGTCATATTTTGTTTTCATTTCCGATAGTTCAATGGCGTAACTTTGAGGTATGTTGATGTTTTAACAAATTTTCTGACAAATCTGATAACCAATATCATGTTAGTAAAATCTAAATATTTTTTAGATTTGTATACTTATCCTGCATTACTGCTTAATGCATTCACTGCTTACCTTGCGACAAAAAAACTGGGACAGCGTACCGGCGATGGTCTTGGGTGAAGATAAATAAACTGTTCCTGAATCCCTCTTTTACACCATGCTGTTGCCGTCCCCGTGACCTCACATGACCTAGGTCACCTCTTCACATTACTGCCTGTCGCCCAAACTTAAAAAACATTCTTTTGAGGTTTCTGAAGCCAAAGTGGGGAGGCAACGGGTGGGCCTTAAACGTAGTAATGCAGGATAAGTATCCAAATATAAAAAATATATTTAGATTTTACTAATTTTTTTACTTATCCTGCATTAGTCCTTAATGCATCTGTATCGGACGGTCTGGAGGTGGGAAACCCTCAGAATACAGAAACCTCAATAATTCACACCCTGAAGGTAAGACACTTATTGGTCGGTAAACCCTGAAGTGGAAAAGTTCAGAAAAACGCTATTACGGTAGGGCTATTTCAATGCGAAAAACCATTGAACATAAGAATTAAAGAGTAGTTCCCTATAAATCTTTAGTAATAAAGACAAATAGCTCATCAGCCAAATCTTTACTTACTAGAAAAATATAGCCCTGTGGACAATTGCTTGTCTAATATTCGTCCACTGGCGAAATCTGATCAACTGCACTGGAAAGAGAAAAGCTCTGTATAGGGCGAGTTTATTATTTGCGTCGAGGGTTGGTAACTTACTGAGCTACAACCAATGTCCCAAAACTCTGTACACTTTCGACATCCTCTAGAGTCACATCGCGAAGACATGACTGGCGAAAACTGTGTCGGACCACCAAAACCATCCTTCCATGATTGCTGTGTGATGCCATGGTAGAGGCTAGTGCCCTGATCTCATGAGCATAATTCGCTCTCGGCGGATCCAAATTGGCGATCAAATAAGCCTGAAGGATGACTGTGCGTAACCATAGAGATATGGTGTTGCGACTAACTTCGGTAGTGGACGTAGTAGATACGGGTTCTAAATAACCGCTTCCTCAAACCACGCCTAGTCCTGGAACGGCAGATGAAAATTCGCAGTGCTTGTACCGGACATAATAGAAGTTCACCCTCATCTTCACTACCCACAATCGTCGATATTGGTGGAATGGTGACGGAATGATCGGGTTGGCCTGGCAATTGATTCTTAGCAATAAAATCCCAGCACAACCCGAGATGCACTGCTCTGTGCATCCAATGCTAAAAATGACCCCGGGTGATGTCGATCGCATCGCTAATGCCAAGAGAAATACTGTTTTCTTGGTGAGGACATAAAAAGAGGATGCATGGAGGGGCTCAAGGGGGAGTCCCTGCAAACCTCGAAGTACCACATTCAAATCCCATGCAGGTGGATCCTCAAGCCTGAATGAGCGTAATAAGGCCTGTAGTTCTGGGACCTTAGTCATCCTACGATTATCCGGAACAGCCAACACTGAGTTAAGTGCAACCAAATACGTAGTAATAGTGCTACCTTTCAAGTGTCTTTGGGTACGCAAATGTAGGAGATATTCAGCTAAAAACTGAGATGACACAGTAGCAAGGTCTTGACTTTTTGCCTTGCAAAATGTTTCAAACGATCCCCACCTGTCATCGTATAGGCCCCTAGTAGAGGGACGATGAGCTAACGTTATAGCTTGTGCTGCCCGTGCCAAACGCCTTTTAAAGACGAACAAACCGTGCAGACGAAATCTGTCTAGTGTTGGATAAGGCAATTTGCAGTGAGGGTGGATAAGTAGGTTGGACCACTGTGGGAGGGGTAGTGGATCGTCTTCTGCTAGATTTCTGAGCTCAATGAACCACCCTCTCGCCGGCCACCAGGGCGCAACCAAAGTCAGAGCAAGTCTCCTTGTCTCCTTGATCTTTTGTATTACCCTGGGAAGTAAGACTGGTGGCGGAAAAGTGTACGCTTTTAGTCCTTCCCAAGGAATGCTGAACGCGTCCAACGTCCAAGCCTTTCGGATCCGGTAACGGGGAGACATATGTCACGAGTTGGTAATTTTGGCAAGTTGCAAACAGGTCGATGTTTGGTTGCCCGAACTTATGAAGCAGTAACTGGAACGCTTCTGTGTGAAGTTTCCACTTGGTGGGGGCTACCCTGTCTGGACTTGATCAGGCATCGGCCAGAATGTTTCGACATCCGGGGATGTGCTGAACTATGAACTGTAGTTGCAGACGATCCACTAGATGGAAAAATCTGAATGTCTGTTGAAGTAGCGAGTGGGAGTGCGTTGTTCCCTGATTGCGCAGGCACCACACCACAGTGCTGCTGTCTGGATATTGCGAGTTGGGCTGACTGTAGTTGATTCTGCCAGTGAGATATGGTAAGTATCTCCAACTTCCAACTCCAAATTGTTTATGTGCCACTTTCGAGCGCTTGACCACAGTGCTGAGGCTGTCTGGCCTTGCAGGTGAGCACCCCACCCCTGAAGGGAGGCATCTACGAACAGGTGTAGATTCGGGGACAACCCGGACAAAGAGACTCCTCTTAAGACAATCGACTCTACCGTCAACCAAATGAGGTAAGGCCTTAGATGAGTTGGTAGCATGATGGCCTTGAGTGGATCCTGACTCCTGATGTAAGGGTCCAGGAATTGTTGTCCTGGGCGTAATTGTAATTGGCCTCTGCTGGTTAGATCCTGGGCTGAGGTGTGTAACCCTAACAACAGTTGCCATTGGTGAAGTGTGCGTGATTGATAAAGAGCAGGTGACAGGAGGCGTAAAATCTTTTGCCATCTGTCCCTCGGGACTGATAGGACTGATCTGTTTGAAATTGGCCTCCTATGAACTGGAGTTGAAATGATGGAGTTAGCTCCAACGTCGCCTCGTTGATTATCCATCTCAGTTGATATAGTAGCCTTCTGGAGAAATCCCGGTGGAGTACTAACGTCTGTGTGTGTTGATGACACAGGAGACAGTTGTCTATGTACGACTCGAACCAAATGTTCCTCAGGTGTAGAAACGCAGTTATGGGCTTCATTACTCGTGTAAATAGCCACGGGGACACTGAAATGTCAAATGGGAGTACTGTACTGCCAACTGGTAGTGAACCCCATTGAAGTTGAACCTGAGGAACCTGAGGAACCTGCGGTCATTGGGATGGATCTGTATGTGCAGATATGCATTGATCTAATCCTATTTGCCAGGGTCGATCGGAATCGACGTAGGATGTGTCCAAATGGTACCTTTTTTATCCACCCCGTTACCCGGCGAAGATACTGATCTGAGGCGGTCAGCTACCCAATCAGGTAGCCAGGCCAAGGTGAGTATTCCATTCAGTTGAGGAATCTCCCTCCTCACCATTAGAATAGTCCGATGAATCAGAACGATGTTGACGTGTGCGTCTAGATGGTGAACGACTTCTACTCCGATGTGTAGTGCTACTTTTGACCGAGGGCTTAGATGAACTGCCTGGTGAAAAGGAGTCACGACTCGATGTCCAAGAAGAATGCACTGTGTTATGACTCACAATGGGAGTATTATAAACATTAGGCACTGGGGTAGGTGGTAAAATCTGTGCCTTAGCTGTAACTGACGCAGGTGTCTGATACATAGGCGCAGGCGTGGGCGCAGGTTACAATTGTGTCATGGACTGCTGCCAC